GTTAATTATGCATAGGATGCTTATGTTTGTGATCTTTAGAGATAACTGACCAACATCCACGTGGCAACCCTGGCAGGGTAATACTATTAATCAGAAAGTAATTTTTTTTACTTCTCTTTTGACCAAGAAATCCCTAAGAAACTGGGGGGTGTTGGGGTGTGATGTGTGTGAGAGGGTGGTGTTGGTTGGTTGTGATTTTTTCTTTAAATACATGTTAAACTAAGTCATGTAAGCCTACAGGAAAGAAAATGCGAAGTATTATATTGTGAAAGTTTCATATAATTCCGTATTTTAAGAGTACACAATCACTTCTGAAGGCTATTACAAAGCACATACAAAAAGGCTAGAATTCAGGTGGAACCCTACACCTTCCATCTATATGATTTTCAGTTTCATATTCACTTTCCCATATTTTGCATTCTCCAAGTTTTGAATTGATTTATCTAGATTCGATGCTCTCCTGAACAATCTTTCTCATTCCCCATAGAAAGTAGCAACAAAAATATTCTTATATATATATATGCTTATATATGGTTACATATACTTCAGAAAAGCAATTATTTGACCAAAACTTACTCAAATGAAAGTTTCTTCAGGACAGGTGGTAACAGCAGTCTGCTAGGAAACAGTTCAACTTCTTCCTCTCCTCCTTTTAAAAATACAAATATATGAGCATAGCAATGGTTGCAGTGACCTCAGTGCACCCATGTAAGAGAAAAGCAAGCTGATCTACATCACTAAATAGCCATGATTAAAAAAAACCCTTCAAAGTACAAAATTATGAATCTACAGGCAAACCTTCAATAATTATATTTTTGATAAGATTTTCTGCTTCTCAAACATCATGAGATTAAGCAAGCAATATATTAATATACAAAAAGGAAATACATTTTAAGTATTACCCTGAGGAGAATGCATCTTTCCTTGTGCCACTTCCACTCAGAACCCGTACTACTGCTGAATTAGAAAGTACTTAAAGTTTTTGAACAGTTAATATACAAGTAGCACAAAGGCATACATACTAAATAACAGTGCACAAGTTCCTGTTTTCCATGTTTTCCCTCATTTATAACCGAAGTGTTTTTCTGAAGCAGACAGGACGTACAGACTAACCTTGCTTTCACAGGCTGATGACTGGAAAGTTGAATTACTCAGAGCAGAATTCCAGGATAATTTTGCATCTCCTGTTGCCAGACATACATAAAAGGCAGTATGTTCAATGTGAAAGATTTTGTTCTTGATTTGGTAAAAAAGAAAAATGGCCCACGCCAGGTCGCGTTTCCTTTTATTGTTAAAACATTAAAGCATAACATTTCACCAAATACAAGAAATTTAGGGGGGTTCTGACATTACAAACATCTGAATCATCAAGAGAAAGTGTTGAGCTATACATAGTCTGACGTTAATCCATCAATTTAAGGTATATTAGTACATGCTTAAAACATGGCCAAAATACAGAATCACAAACTAAGTACCTTGATGCTTCTAAATCTGAGACAAGTAAGTCAGAGAATTGAGTGCAATAATTTTCCAACAAAAGTTACACTCAATTACAACCTCAGGGCAGAATTATTCCAGAAAGATTGATGGTTTCTCATGCCTGGCTCATTCACATTCAGTTTGGTAAGAATTTCAATTTTGAGAATTTGATAAAAACATTTTGAAAAATACAACATTTAACAAATGTGAAAAAACAAGTTCAGTCTTCACAGGAATATATGGATTGCTTGCCACTCCAGTCCTTAATTGCCTGTATGTTTTACAAATCTTTACAAAACTAATTTGTATCCATTTTGGTTTCAAAAACATAGTACATCTGAAAAATAAAATATGACTCTACTGATGGGTAATACAAAGACATGGACACGTATTTAAAATTACTTTCCAAAGTAAATAATTTCAGTAATACAGCTATAAGACAAGTTAAACATAGTACGATAAACCATGCATCTTCTGACTTGTCAGAACAGCTAAACTACTCAGTTAACATACAGCAACACTTTTGAACACTTCTGTAAATTCAGCACAATTTCCCTTCTAGCACAAGGGAAAAAAACAGATTAAATTTGTTCTTCAAGTGGTTCAAGGCTGTCCAAGTGTTTTTTAGGTGTATCATCACTGTGACGGCTTTGGCAATGGGTTAAATGTTTCTTAAAGCCTCGGGGAAAATTAGATTCAAAATTACAACGTGGACACTTCAACAAACTTTGACCATGAGCAGCAACATGGTTTTTGAGGAGAGACTCCAAGAGAAAAGCTTTGCCACATATTTTACATTTGTAGGGGCTTTGAACATTATGCTTGTTAACTAAATGGTGCAAGACAGCACCTTTTTTCATTGCACGACAGCAACAAATCTTGCAATAATACTTTCCCTTGCCACGCTTCATGTATTTTGCTATTTCTTCCTCGGAGATGAAAGCCTCTTTCTCTTCAGTAAACTGCAGCACACACTGTGGCTGCATGGGAGGAGTTGCATCTATTTTGCTCTCTTTGCCATAATCAGATGACTCCATATCATATTGCTCTTGGTCACTGTTGGATTCTTGCTCCTTTATCTCCATCGAGTCCATCTCTGCTTTTCCACATTCACTGCTATTTAGTTCAGAATCAGAGTTCTCCTGGTTTTCTTTCTTGGGCTTCTTTTTGGGGCATGAATATAACATGTCTTCTGGTGATTCTTTGGCTAATATTGATGGCTCATCCTGTGAGAACAAATCATCCAGTGGTTTCTGATCATCTAAACTATGAGAAAGAAAGTCACTCTCTCCAGACTCACTAGGTGTCTGGGACTCGGAGGAAAAACCCGACGCAGATTTGTGAGGCTCGGAAAACAGGATGTTCTTCTGGATTTCAGAAGGTACAGTAGTTTCAGCATGTCTCTGGACATCAGAGGATAAAGCAGCAGCAGGCTTCTGCATCTCAGAAAATACAGCATGCTTTTGAACATCAGGGGAAACAGCGGATTTCTGGGAGTCAGTAAAAACAGCTTGTTTGGGGGTCTCGGGAGAAACGGAAGGAGTAGGTTTCTGGCTCTCAGTAAAGAGGCCATGTTTCTGAATTTCAGGAGAAACAGATTTCTGAGACTCTGGAAAGGAAGTAGGCTCCTGAACTTCAGAGGAAATGGGAGTGAGTTTCTGGGTTTCTGAAAATAGGGTGTGCTTTTGGACTTCAGAAGAACCAAGAGCTAATTTCTGGGTTTCAGAACATAAGGCATGTTTTTGGCCTTCAGTAGAAACAGCAGAAGTAGACACCTGATTCTGAGGCTCAGAAAAGACAGCACGTTTCTGGACATCAGTAGAAACAGTAGGATTAGATTTACGAGACTCTGGGAACAGAGCTCTTTTCCGAGGTTCTGGGAAATGAGCCCGTTTCTGAGCCTCAGACAAAGCAGCAGAGGTGGATTTCTGAGTTTCAGAAAAATACATAGATTTCCGGGACTCAGAGAGTTTCCAAGATTCAGGAGATACCGAAGCACCAGGCTTACGGACCTCAGGAAAGAAAGAAGTCTTCCAAGAGTCAGAGGAAACAGTGTGACTAGACTTTCGAAGCTCGGGAGAAACAGGGGGAGAATGCTTCCATGTGTCAGGGGACACAACAGGTTTCCAGCCTTCAGGGTAAACAGATGAGATGGGTTTCCACGGCTCAGAAGAAACAAGAGTAGACTTCTGGGATTCAGAAAAGGACGTAGATTTCCACGAGTCAGAAACAAGCCTCCTAGGTTCTGGTGACACAACTGGGCCAGGCCTTCGGGTCTCAGGGCCAGACCTCCGGGATTCTACAGACACTGACATGGCAGGCTTTGGAGCCCAGGGAGAAACCGTGGAAGATTTCTGCACCTCGTGAGGTGCTGACCTCCAGGGCTCAGGGGAAACAGTTGGACCGGGTCTCCACGACTCTGGTGAAACTGCAGGAGCAGGCCTCCTGGTTTCAGGAGAAGCAGCAGAAGCAGGCCTACGCATTTGAGAAGGGTGTCTCCGGGGCTCAGGAGACCCAGCTGGGGCATACCGTCGTGGTTCAGGGGATACTGCTGGAGTAGGTTTCTTTGGCTCTGGTGACACAGCTGGGGAATATCTGCGGGGCTCTGGAGACACAGCGGGAGAATGGCGACGGGGCTCTGGTGATACAGCGGGGGAGTGCCGACGAGGCTCTGGAGACACAGCTGGGGAATGACGACGAGGCTCTGGAGACACAGCTGGGGCAGGCTTCTGTGGGTCAGGAGACACTGCAGGAGATAGCTTCTGTGGGTCGGGGGACACTGCAGGAGATGGCTTCTCTGAGTGCGGGGATACAGTTGAGGCTGACTTCTCTGGATCTGGAGATGTGGCCTCGGCTGACTTTTCTGGGTCTGGGGACACAGCCTGCGCTGACTTCTCTGGCTCTGAGGAAGTCACCTGAGCTGACTTCTGCGGCTCTGGAGACACAGAAGATTTCTGAAGCTTGGGGGAAACAACAGGTTCAGATTTGGGTTGTTCAGGAGAAGGGGCAGGTTTGCGTGACTCGGGGGAAAGGGTAGGTTTCTGTGGCTCCACTGGGACACTTTTTTTGGAAGAATCTCCATCTCCTTCTACCTGTTCTTTCCGCTCCTCATTCCACTTCTCAGGTGCTGCATGCTGTGCTGTGATGTGATAATACACATTGCAATACATCTTACTGGTAAAGAAGCATTTGTGGCAGTGAAACAGTTTTGCGCTTTTTTGATAAAATATAAGTTTACCCAAACCAGCAGCGTCCATTTCATCACAATACTCTGGGTGTATGGTACCCATATGAATTTGTATGCTTTCATAGTCCGTTCCTTTGAAGCTGCAGTGATCACACTCTAAGCGCTCTGGGGATTTACGCAGTACCTGCAACACGTCCATTTTTCAGTGGTCAGTAACAGTTCGCACAGCACTGCACCTTTTACAAAAGAAGCTTCAGTTCCTGCAATAAAGGAAAAAAATAAATCTGTGTAATCAGCTGTCAATGTTAATTTCAACTCTTTGTCATTCCTAAATAAGCACATGTGCTTCCCCCTCCCCCCCATTTTAGCAAGTGTAACTTTTGTGCAGGTACCACATCATCAAGAAATCCAAACACAGGCGTGTCCAACTTCTGCAAGTCATTTTACACGAGTAAAACTTGAAAAACAAAGTTTATATTTAACAATAGGCCTTCCTACCTATGTAAAAAAAATCCACAAGCAAACAATAAAAAAAGAGCTCAGGTGATGAAGGGTGAAGTTTACATTTCATTTGATAAACATGACTTACTTTCTTGTCTTTACTTCCCAGATTGTGTTTATTTACATTACACACATAAACTGAAAACAAAAAGTAGTGTGAAACAGTGCCACTGAGGTAAAGCCATTTCAAAACTGCATCTTCATCATAAAATTTCAAAACAAATTAGCTGGTTTCGATAAAGACAAAAAAAAATTCAAGAAGAAAGCAGCAGCCAGAAGCCTAGGCCCTGTTTTCATCTGTTAAACACTGTTCGCCTTTCCCTAATTACATGAAAACCAAAAGCTGCTGCTTAAAGATTTTTTCCACTATGAAAATAATTTTTTCCGTTCCACTATTTCATCTGCTGCCCTAATAACAACAAAAACACTGTTCAAAAAACCAGCCAGGATGTCTTTGTTTTCCAGTTGGTGTAGTTGACAGTCCTCTGTATTCACAACATCATTTGCCTCACCCCAAAGAGAAAGATGGAAAGTTCTCAAAATTATTGTTTTGGCAAGACTTAAAAAAAACACCCCAACAAACCAAAAAACAAACAGACCAAAACAAACAAACAAACAAAAAACAACCTCCCCAAACAAGAAACAGAAATGCAGCATCTGAAATGCAAATAATTTTTAATGACCTGGCTAGATTCCACTATTTCCAACAGAATTTACCCAGATTAGCTACTACAATAAGCAAAAACCCAAGCCTAACCAAATGCTGCAGGGCATTTTCATGTAAATGTGGGAGGGATCTCTATGGTGAAAAGTAACATTTGGATATTTAGGTGAAATGCACAGGCTTTTTTCTTGTAGGTTCAAATTAAACAGATGTCACATCATTATCATGCTAAGCTATCAACCAAATTTCAGGGGTCTTGTAAGACATGTTGTTTCCCAGCACTATTAGCAGTCATACAAAAGGCACCCCAAAATGTGGTCCATACCACATACAGTGTAGACCACAAAACACTTCCCAACATCATATAACAAACTTCATATTCTGAAAAAGATCCAAACAAAACAGAAAGATAATAGTAGTTTTCAGTGTCTGTATCTCTGCAATAGCAAACAACTTGTCAATAAAAAACCAAACAACAAAGCAAGCCAGGTCTTAACACTCCAAAAGACCTAAAAGTCTTTATGAATTAAGATTTTTTTTTTGGTTGTGGGATTTGGGGTGACGGGAAGAAAAAATATTCCCATTTGAAAGCCAAAAATTCTATATTGATCATACAAGATAAAGAAAAAGAATCCTTTTTTACAAAACCACAGCAGAACCTCATTAGGACAGTTAAGACATACTGCATTAATCACATTTTCCGAATCAAAAGCGAATTTGTCACTGGTGGTAATTCTAAGTTGCCTATTTTCTTTTCTCTGGAAAACCTAAAAAGGTTTTTCCAAAGTTAGTTTATCATAGTTTACAACAAAGTTTACCAGACAATCTTTTCTACCCTCTTCATCATTTCCCTCCTCCTTACACATCACCTAATTGTTGCCCTTGCTGCAGATTTCTGTTACTCACTCCTCCCAACTATACTTCACCTACCTCCCATCCTCTCCTTTTATTCAGTCCTATTTTATTTTACAATGGAAATTTCCATTTTCTTCCCAAATGCAGCAGTGAGAAAAGGTCCCTGGCTCCCTTCCACAAATTGTCCAAGTTGCTGCTAAGCTTTTTGACCAGGAGGTTATTCTGAAACTGGAGAAATCACAGGCACTTCCTCATTTTCATCTCCAGACATCCAAAGGTTGACATTCAAGCCTTTGGCATAAGAAATAACTGGAAAGAGCGGGGGACACTTTCTCCCGCACTGCCATGTCTCACCATTTTCCATTTTGTAACTTCAGCATACATCAGCTGGCAGTCACTGAGGAACCTGTCTCTTCTGCTGAAATGTCTTCTTAATTGAGGCATACCTCTAAGCAAGACAACTCTTTGGTATTGCAGCACCTTAGGCCACCTCTCCCCATTCCCCTTCTATCATGCATGTCTAGAACCTATACACAAAGGTTGCTACAACCAGCTCTCTCCTCTCCCCACAAAGATGCTGAAGATCCTGTCCCCTGCTGCAGTTCTTTCCATAACCTCTTCCAACACAGGAAGAACAGACAAAGAGCAAGGAAAAAGAAGAAAAA